TGTGTGTGTGTGTGGGTGTGTGTGTGTGTGTGTGTGTGTGCGTGTGTGTGTGTGTGGGTTCCAGTCACATTACTATCCACTATGAATCACCTTCATGGACCATGACACAGTTATCCCAGGTGTGAATGTTTGAATGCTGAGTGAAGACATGTAAACATGGTGAGAGATGTGAAACAGTGATCAACACTGCCTGTCGGAGCTTTCTTTGGTTGGCCTTTTTGATAGCAGGAAACATACAGCCTGATTTATCACAACTACGTGGCGTACACTTGTGGTTTTATTTTGCAACGAGGGCTGGTTTGCAACATTACCAGTGTGTTGTATATCTTTTCAACAGGGTTTACCAAACACCCAACAGTGTTGGCTGGTGAGGCTAATTGTCGGCTGAATTTTGGTAATACAGGACACTTTGCTTTCAGTTGACTCTCAGTTTTACCTTCGATTTAAGTGGTTTTACAGTATAGTTTATAGTAGACAAATGCAATTAATGTGTCTAAAAAGCTGACTTTAACTTTCTGACTGTCTGAAAAACGTATGTCTTTTGACCTTTCGATTCAATGTAGCGAATGTGTTGCCAGTGATGACAGTAAAAATGACAAAATTAGAACCAATGTTGAGAATACTCATACTACTAGCCTTCCTCTACTATTCAGACATACCCAGTAGGGTGGTCCTTAAAATTGAAAGTCGGAAGGGGTACATAAAAATTCACCAGGAGAGTTGTCTTGACTAATAGAAGGAATTCTGGGGGTTGGAGCTTAGACTTTCCGACTTTCAATTTTAAGGACCACCCTACATGAGGCTAAACTTCAAGGTTGATGATGGGGGGGTAAATGTGGTGGTTGGAGCTTAAAATAAATGAATTCAAAACATTTACCTCTCACGAAGGACCACCCTTACCCAGTGCTCACATTCAAAAACTACGCATGTAATCAATTCTTAGTCCATTGAAAGGACGCTACAATCATAAATTGAAAGTGTCTTTTTACAGCAGCAGCGGAGTCAAAGGAAAGATGACTGAATGGTTAAGCATTTGGAAGCAAAAAGCAAAAGCACCAATTTGGCAATATCTGGGATTTTAAGGGCTCTACAAATTCTTAAATTGAGTGTCATCGATGGAATTATTTTCTTGAAAAATGTTTATTGAAATCTGTGTTTAATAACCGGTGCAAAATTGTCCTCACCCTGGCACCCCTACTCATTAACAAGACACTAATTCATAACAAATGTATAAATGAGTTTACTTTTACAACTGGTTTGGTCAGACATGAAATCCCCACAGCACAACCCAAGGAAACACAGCGCTTTGCATGTTGGTTTTACATAAAAATTCATTAGTGTTTGTTCCCGGGCTCAAGCCGTTAACACAGAAGTAGTTACCCTGCTGAACTGACTGCATTTCAATTCCCTGCCTTCGTCCTCTGCCAGCAGTTGAAGGGGACTTAGAAACTCCAACATGCTGTATGAAGATCACAAGCCAAGAAGGGTAAATGCTGCGTAACATGCTGAGGGATAAACACAACGGGGACCAACCGAGGGTTGAGTTACATCTTTGGCTGTGTGTGTGTGAGTGTGTGTGGTGGGTCCAGGCATGTTGTAGTAAAGGATACTGACCCTTTTTAAGACAGCTTCTCTTAAAACCAGCTAGAGAAGGATTAGAGAGAGAGAAACACAGACTGAGAATGCTTTCAGCTTCAGCAGACACTAATCCTCCTCTTTCTCTCTCTGATAGATGAGAGCCAGTCGAGAGACGGTCGAGTAAGAGACTGACACACTGACACACACACACACACACACACACACACACACACACACACACACACACACACACACACACACACACACACACACACACACACACACTGAGGATGACTCACGAGACACACATGCTCACATATACATTACTGGTGTGTGTGTGTGTGTGTGTGTGTGTGTGTGTGTGTGTGTGTGTGTGTGTGTGTGTGTGTGTGTGTGTGTGTGTGTGTGTGTGTGTGTGTGTGTGCATTACCCAGCTTGGAGTGCCCAAAGCAGAAGACGCAGCCATCTGCTCCGTTCACCACTGACTGAATCACCTCGGCAACCGTTCCCGCACACACCTCCGCCTAGCAACAGATAAAGAGAGAGATGAGGGGGTAAGGTCAAGAAATTAAATACCTGGACAATAATAAACTGTGTACGTTAGAGAACGTATCTTCATGGGAGCCATAGAAGGTGTGTACATTTGAATGACAGATAACCCAAAAGAAGATGGTAAAATGTAGATGATGGGTTTGTTCCTCATTAGTGTTGCTTATTCTTAATTTATTTAATCCATTTATTTGTTCATGTAAATGATCTGCAAAGGCTAAAATCTCAAAGTTCCCTCCAGAGTGAGTTTCTCTCCAACACACTCCCTCCGTGACTGAAACGCCTTCATGGGAATCCTTTGTTTATTTTCATAAATGTGACATCACTACGTAACACTCGCGCTTCTATTGGCTAGCGCTCAAACACAATGTACGTGATAGACATCTTCAAGCGGTTGACCAATCACAACAGAGCCGGCCAGAGCAGACTGGGCTCTGGTTTCAGACAGAGGGTGAAAAGAGGTGCTGCAGCACAGGCAATATGAGAAAAATAAAGACCTTATTCAATACAAACAAAACACAAATATGAACCTGAAAATATGCATTATAGGACCCCTTTAAAATGTGATGCACAGGCTTGAACAACTACAATGTTAATTGGGCGGCATGAAAATAGAAAATCTCCACTTTTTTAAAGAGACTTGAAGTTTGAGTGTGTTAATTCTATACTAGAGGCCTAGTTTGATTTACATTTTTGGGTCAAATCTTGGATGTGAATCTTGAATGCTGGTCTGCTGTCAAGTCGAGTTCAGATGTATTTATAAGACTCAGCAAGAGTACTAGGTGTTCCATTTTAAAGGTTTAATAGCAGTAAAGTCAGAGCCACTGGTGAGGGTGGAGAATACCATGTAATTGGTATTTTACGAATTCAAAACTAATCGGTGAAAACGGAGCAATAATTGGAAAGCATCAAAGACAGACTGGAGACGAGACTCGGCCGGCTGGAGTGAAAGCTGCATTAAGCATTGACACTAAGTCTGCAGAATGGGAATAATGGAACTCATTCTCATACAATTATTCCTTTTGATAGCATGTTAGATACACCACATACATTGCAATTATTCCAAAGAGAGTTCCTTTTTCATTTTTAATTGACTATATTAATTTGAAAGGGTAACCTCAGCTGCTCTGGCTCCGTCCGAATACAAAAAAAACACTCCTGATTCACCCCCTATGTATGACATCAATACAGTAAGTCCAGGTTTCTTCTGATTATCTTCAAGAAATTCAACTGAACATTGTCTTTCAGATTAGTGTCATGAAAGGTCCTTTGTTCTCCTAACTCATAATCACTTTTCTTACCTGTGATGCATCAGGAGGGAACGCAGCATCAAAGGTGAACATCTTTGGAGGGACCTGATTGGCTGCTGCCTTCTTCGTGGAGGCAGCGCTTTGTGTCTGATTGGCTGACGGGTCCATGATGGTGATTTGCTTCTTCCTGGGATCAACTTTAAGGAAGGAACTGGATTCAGCTGCGTCCGACTGAGACACTGGACACAAGCGCACCATCACTTTCACCTGAGGGTAGGACACAGAAAACACATATTCAGATACATTTGAAACAACAGAGTATGATATAATAACACCTGCTATGTTATGCTCTACAAATAAAAGATAGATCCAGAAGTTGAACAGAACATCTCCCAATAATGCAACTTTTTAAGAAGCACTGGTCGGGTTTGCAAATTATCTCTGAAATAAATTATTTCTGGTCTGATGATTTATAAATCAGTGAGATAAGACTTTAAACAACAGGCACAAAACACACATTCATAAAGTGCAAAAGTGCTAAAGTTACAGTTATACTTTTGTGATGCCTTTGCAGATCCTTAAGTATCTATTATGTGCTCTACCTGGCGCTCCTATGTTGATAAAGAGTTTCTGATGTGTTTTCTTGTCAGCTGTGTTTGCATCAATACTTACTCTAACCCACTTGCACTTCAAGGGCACTAGGGCACTGTAAAGGCGTGTTTGCTAGAGGGCATCTGAACTCATCTGAGCCGTGACAAAAGACTTCCAAAGTCATAACATCCCACTTTTATTTCTTTTGAGTCTTAGATATGTTTTCACTCTCTCCTCACCTAAATGCTTCTTCTGCCCTCCTCCTCCCTTCACACCCTTTACCTGTCACTCTTATCTCTCTCTCTCTCTCTCTCTCTCTCTCCCTCCATCCTAAATCCCTTCCCTTTCCTCTCCTCCTGTCTACCTTCAGCTCGCTGCCTCAAATCAAAAGCCTGAAGTGCAGGAATCCTGTGTTTAGCTTTCTCTCCTCTTCTCGCTCTTCCTTTCCTCCCACTCATGTCATAAACTGTTAGTATCCGCAATTTAGCGCCTGACAGCTGCTCTTGTTTTCTTTGATACCAGAGGAGGCAAAACGCTGCGTCATCAGGATCTGAGCGATTACCAGAACATTTTACCATATAAACATCCTTTTCTCTGTTAGTGAAGTTGCTTTAAAGTTTGAAGAACTTTCTAGCAGTTCATTATGGATCTCTTTATCCTCCTCTGGCTCATCAGGGTGAATTAGTCTTTGTCTTTCTTTCTCTTTTGAACTTTTACTGCTCTCTGATTCAGTCCATCTGTGTGTTGTCTTCTTCTCGTTATGTTTGTTGCTTAGTCTTCCCACCTGCTACATGATTATCCAGGAGATTTACCACAGATTTCCCCTCCTGACAAGTGGAGGCTTAGTTAAAGTAAATGCATGGTGCAGAGTGTCAGATGCAAAGGGACATTTATGGATTTAGTCTAAACACAACACCAGCTGTCACAGAAACTGATCTGAGCGTCCCTGATCATGAAATATATTTCATATTGAGCAAATACTGACTTTTGCTGCCTTTGCTCAAAGCAGAGTGAATATTTTTGACACCAACTGGAACAATATTGTAAGCCATTTAGTTGAGTGGCCTCTTGATGAAATGCTGAGTAAATTAAAGTTGGGTTTTTATTGTGAAAGATAAAACGGTAATAATTTGGAGTCAGATGCACCTTTGGAAGAGATAAACTGAGTCACAAAAGTAAAGTAACAAGTAGTGGAACTAATTAAACTAGTGTTATCACTTTCTCAATGAGTAACAGGTAATGTGTGATTGATTACATTTCTGAAGTAACTTTTCCATCACTGCTCCTTCTTTAAAGGTCCCATGTCATGTTTTTCCGCTTATTACCCGTCCCATTGTGTGTTATGTAGGTTTTTCTGCATGTAAACGGTCTGCAGAGTCACAAACCCTCAAAGTACACCCTGCAGGAGTAAAACTCTAACACAAAAAAGACCTGTCTATGCTGCCCCAGAACGCCTCGTTGGAGATTTCTCATTTTCCATTGTTTTCTTCCTGGGTTCTGTGACGTGTGAATACCCAAATCAGCAACAAATGACCAGATTGGCCCAAATGGACCAATCCGCGGAGCATCTCCCACACCAGGATCCCTTGGTTAACTAACAGGGAGTCCCATTGACTTGCATAGAGCTCCCTGAACGCTGGGAATAGACGAGTTGGGATCGTGGAGAAATGCTCTCCGCAGACCCATTCTCACAGCGTTATAAACCTGTTTCTTACTCAATATCAAGCCACACTTATTGTTTTTACTTCGGCTGTGAGAGTTTGTGTGTGCTCAGGATGAGTTTTGCTGTCTCTCGCTGTATCGCCGACCCGGAAACCTGTCCGCTCCTCGCAGCAGCTCGCAGCAACGAGCCTCGCAGCGTCCCGACCAATCAGAGTACACTGGGCTCACAGGGAGGCGGGGCAGGAGCTCCGACAAGCCGTTTAGGACAGAGAGTGAATACACATACTATACAGAGATGCTGTATGAGAAACCAATGTGAGTTTGGAAAATTGCACAATTTAAATCTATTCTAGTAGACAATGGAAATATGATCAGTAGAAATGGCCATGATATGGGACCTTTAATATTGACACACAATTGCCATGTGGCGTGTCTGTGTTGTTCTTTTAAACATATGCAGACTGGTCTCAACTAACTTTTTATTCCATGATTTTAGACATTTGTATCAATTTCTTCAGGTGCTATAAAAAGATTCTGATAAAGACTCATCACATCTTATTTTGTACCAAGTAGTACTATGGCCACACCAAGCCTCTCCCTCACCAAAACCATCGTCTTTGTAAAGACTATAGGAATAAATACCCTAACACATTTTAACATTGTTAGAAAACCACTCATGTCATATTTCCTTATTGTATTCTTTCAAAAGTTGAATCTTACATTAATGTCAAGGAAATGATTTAAAGGTAGGTCAGAACCATGACATGACATGGCTATACAAAATACTAGTGTAAAAACATGGTTAACCACTTAGAAAGTTTGCCTGCTATCTAAAATAAAAAAGATACCCATTCTGTGAAATCTGAAATAGTACAAGTTTACGGTAAATTGGCTTCAGCTGGGATCGCTGACTGCACAACATCTCTAGATTGTTTTGGACGAGGCAATTTAAGGCGTGACAGATGCAAAGAGCTGAATGTCCAATAAACAGCAAATCAGCTGACAGTCAACAATAAACAGGCTGACAGTTAAAGGATATTCCATTTTAAATCTTTACAGTCTTTGTGAGTTGACAGAAAGGGAATGAGTGCATTGTTAGTTGTGGCCTCTGTAAGACTGTCAGGATATCGCTCAATCCTCGAATAACACCAATACATTGACCCAGTCCTTCAAAACATCTAATATATGGAGGAGGATTGAGCATCTGTGTGTAGTTTGGTATAGATAATGAAAGGATGGATGAACAAGAGTATTCAAGTATTTCTGCTAGAGTGTGCAGGATAGTCACGGTTTGGTTATACACTGTCTGTGACAAATACAAAATAAGAAAGAATTATGATCTTATTTTACCATTTATTTCCTCACTAGTTTGACAGGGCTCACAGGTGCCGGGCAGATGAAAGAGACTAGTGTGTTTATGTGGCTCCTAAGAGGTAAGAGACGAGAGGAGGAGAGATCCTTTGTCTGTGAACGCTTGTTAGCACAGATGAATCATCGTCTGAAGTGTGATTCTACACTGCACTTCCAGTCAAACACCACCATGGGACGACGAATCACACACTAATCCCAAAACACTCCCACCCCCCAACTGCCCTCTGCATTAGATATATAGAGATAGAAAGAATGTTAGTTAGCTGTGAAGAAGGATGTTATCTTATATAAAAACAAGTCAGTGACAAGAAAAACCTGTTAAATGTATGTCTTTGTTTCACATAGTGTCTGTCAAGTGCTGAAAGTTGAACAGCACAGTTGATTCATGTTTGAGCTTGAATTTGTTTCTCCACTAAATTGGATTATTAATTAATTACCCTTCGCCGAATGACGGTACTTCTAGATAACATCAATAATATTAAGCAATTTTCTACAAAAGAGATAAAAAAAGTGGAGCAATTATTTGCCATGAATTATTAAAAAGCCTTGGAGCAAAGAGACAAAAGCCACCAGAGGAAGGTCATGTTATTCAGAACAAACTCACCTAGAATGAATAGTGACGTGTGAGAAAGCATAAAAGCCTGCTGGTAACTAATATACTGCCGTGTAAAATTAGGCATTATAGGCAAATAACATTCTGAGAGCTATTACTGTGGAGCTGTATGTGTATATGTCTTTATCTCTCTCTCTATCTGAAACACACACACACACACACACACACACACACACACACACACACACACACACACACACACACACACACACACACACACACACACACA